TGGCTGCACCCACTGGCATGGTGTAGGCACGTAAATGATCGATGCCGCCCTGGCAACATGCGAGGACCTTTCTGTCCCAGGTGTCCACGGAGCTGTGTGAGGCAGGAGGGTGTGGGTATCCTCATCTTCTGGAGGAAGACTTGGGGAGCGGGGAGGATGGGGCTTCTCTGAAGTGCTACGGCCTGCATGCCTGCTGGGATGGAATGGAGGTCTCCAAGGCCTTGGCTGGCATCCTTGTCACCCGCCTCCCTCCTCTCTGTCACACCGGTGGCACCCAGGACTGCTCGCTTTTGGCTTTGAACTCCGAGTGTTTATTTCCATGCGGTCAGAAGGGCTCATGCCACCGGCCGATGCGGCACCCGGGAGAGCAAGCCCCCCTTCTGCGGTGGGATCGCAGCATGTCAGGTGTGGGAGCCAGCAGGTCCTGGCCCCACAACTGCAGCCTGCTCGTCATTGGCACTTATTATACCAGTGTTGGTTGCAGAATTTCAGGTGCGGAGTTTGTTCCCTGTCACTAATTGGTTTTATCAAGCAGTATTCACAGAATTTATTAAAAAAATATAAAATTGTAACTTATCTGAAGCTCTCGTATTTTTTTTATGAGTCCCTGGTATTTTTTATGGGTCCTTGGCGAATGTCTAGTTTAGCATACACTCAGTTTCCATGTTTATGAGAAAACCCTCTTGTTTGTAAATTTAACTTCTGATTATTTACACCAGAGGCGCTCAGCGCCCCAAAAAAAAACCCCCCCCCGTGATGAACTTACAGAGTTACTACACACTGTAACAAATTCTGATACTTTACCTGCTCTTGTAGGCACCGTCCTGAAGTGCTAGAAATAGATATCCAGGGTAATATGTTAAAATAGTGCTGAAATGCAGAGTTATTTTATTAGAATTGGTAGGTCATCAATACATATGTTGTAAAATATTTCATGAGTGTAACATCATTTCATTTATTTTCCATGTTTTCATTAAGGCTTTCTCTTGTACATTATTGTTTAGTATCTGCTTTGTGGGACTAGAACGTGAATTTATTCTATTTATTTGTGATCATCCCAATTTTTCTTTAGGTAAGGACATTGGATTAAGTAACAAAAAGATGCTATAAATGTAACAAAGAAAGTTTTCCTTTTTTCCACTGAGGTTTTAGCTGCTCTTGGTTGATACAGCTAATGAAGAAAGCAGTTCCATTTCCCTTCTTTTGTAGTCTGGTGTCTGCTCAGCCATGTGTTTGGCTTTGTGATGAGCTGCTTTAGGGACCTGATTTGTCTGAAAACTTAATGAAACAAGCAAGCACAGTATTTTTAGCCAGATCAGTTTACCGATCTCCGTCTCTACCGTGCCTTCACATGGGATGAGCGCTGCTTTTCTTCTGGTGGTGGTGGTAGTGGTGGTGGATCACAACAGCTGGAGGTGTTTCTTGAAGTCCACGTTTGTTCTTAAGTGTCTATAGAGTAAAATCCTGTGTTTTGTATTTCTTAGTTGATAAAAAGCATGCTCCATAGTCAGGGACCTCTCTTTGGTCAGGTCAGATGCTAAGAAGTAACATTAGGCATCCTGTTTTCCAGCACAGGGTGTCTCTAATGGACAGATAGATGCATGCCAAGCATTTTCTTAACAACCTCTTCATGCAGATCTGTTCCAGTGCTTCAGTCTTCACTCTTGGAAGGATCTTCCCAGCCTCTCATCCAGAACACTGCTGTGATCTGAACCTGGAGCTTTCATCTCTCCTGTAGTAAACGTTGAAAATGGATTGTTACCTTTCTTTATCACAGCAACCTTTAGCATGTGTAGAGGTCATGATTGTGTTTCTCCCCCAGCCTTTCCTCACAGGCCATGTTTTTTCTGCTTCTTATGCTTGTCCTGTAGATAATATTGCTGGTAGTGAATTTTATTCTGGAGCAAACCCCCTGTTTTTTTCCAGTGTTAGAATAATATTGTAAGAGGAATATTGTTGTGAGAGTGTAGGATTGAACAGCTAAGATTTGAATGAAGGAGGAATAGGAAAATGTAAAACAGTGGGATTAGATTACTGAAATTTGCCTAACTTGATCTTACTGTATGCTCTACGTTTCATAAACTATTCATAGCTCATTCTTTTGCAGCTGAACTCTGAGAAAGCTGGTTTTTATTACATGCTGAATTTAATTTTGAACCTCTTCCCTATCCACGCAGTTACTCTGAATGTTTCACTGTTGGCTCCCACAGTACGTCAGTAGTAAACGCTATTGTTTCTTCTGTTGCCATCTCTAAGATTTTGTTCATAATCCCTATGGTGGTCTCAGTCTGCAGTAGAATTTATGATATGCTGCTGTATCGCTGAAATTGTCACTGTACAAAAATCTGCTTTGTTCTTTCTTTTTTTTTTTTTTTTGAAAACCATTAGTTAATGCTTCTAAAACCTGACCTTTATATTTTCATTTTAGGAAGTAACATCTTTGCTCTCGCTTTATGGTGGACAATTCAGTGGTGAGCAGGAAGTTCGTGTAAATGTAAGTAAGGACCAAATATTTCACTTGAGTGCATGTATGGTATACAAGTATGTTCATTACAATATTTTTATGAAATGTGGGTAGCTAAATAAATGTTGACGTTTCTTAGGAAAATAAGGAATCTTCCAAAAACAAGCAATTCTCAGTTTCAGCGAAGACTCGGAACTGAGTGAAAGATGCACAAAATGCACCTCAGGCTGTCTTCATTTAACAGTATGAAAATAAACAGTGCCACCTGGTGGGAGGCTTCTCAGAATAGCCAAACCATGAAACCATTTGGCAGCAGTTTGTTTGAATTTGTTGTTTGCCACTAAATCAATGAGACAGTGTATCTGGAAGGGCGAAGCTAGGAAGCAGTATGATTCTGGTCTCAATGCTGAGGTCAGAGAACGTTACTGGGTTTTAGTTTCTACTTGTGTGTAACGAGGTGGTTTGAGTCTTTAGAGGGTGGATAATCTAGAGAAGCATAAACAGATAATACTATTTTACCAAGTCAAGGATATGGTGGGAAAATGAAATACCTAATAAAATTTCTCAGACATTCAAGCTGAGTATACAGTTTTACCTCAAATTAAATGTTTTATCCCCATGTTCTCTGTACAATTAACAGATTTTTTTATATCTTCGGCATGCATGTTCTGTTTTTAAAGAATATAATTGTGTAGTTGTGTAATTCATGTGACATCTTCCACCTGGGTATTTGTGTCACTTATCTTCTCTTTATTTCAGTCTCCATTTTGGATTCTCAATATTCCTTCAGAAGACATGGCAAGAGGGCTAATGAAACGGACAGTATGTGCAAAGTAAGAGGTGAAAAATCTTGTCAGTTATAATGTAGGAGGTGGAGATTTGTTCTGCTGTATTGTGACAAATATTAATTTTGGATGGAGTCTTAAAATAAACAGTCTCTGCTTACCTCTAGAATTGAGAAGGCGTTACTGGAGCCTGTAGGACTGATTATGTAGCACGCCCCTCCTCTTTACTTTGTGTACAATCAACACAGGGTCTTGAAACGGTGTTCTTCACTGCAGAGCCAGTACTTGTCTTGTAGTGTTGCTGATGTTTTAGTTGCCTTGAATAATGTTTAGTTAGTGGTTTGTTTTAAAATGTGTATGGAATTAAAAGATAAAAACCGAAAAACAAGGTTGGAAGGGAAAGGTAGTGATTCCTTGCGTCACCCTCCTAGTGCTGGTGTCTGAGCCCTCAGTCCAGACCGCCGCAGCAGAGGTCCTGCCAGAAAATTCAAGAGCACAGGAATGTGCCAGAGAGAGATTCTTCCAGCAGCTTTTGGTCCTTTTCAGAGGTGTCTGCATAACACACTTTCCAGGGAGGCTTGAGAGATACCTCGGAGGTATGGTTCAGGATAAGAAGCAGTATAGCTCTGTTACGGCTCTCTTGACTGGACTAAATTCAGGGTGTCTGTTGTGGGGAGATGTGTTAGTTTCAGAGTAAGATTGCTGGAGCATCTCCATTGCAGTGCTAATGAATATTAAAAGCTCTGAAGCATGCATTTATCTAAATAAAATCTCCCCAGCATTTTTGTGTTTTTCCAATACCTACGTAAGTGTTAAAGTAAGAAATGGACCTGAAGGTGTTATAGGAACTTCTCCAACAGTTGAATAAAAGTCAAAGATGAATATTCAGTTCTCTCTAGTACAGCCTATGCTGTTGGCATTTCCATTGCTCCATCCAGAAATATAGTTTAAATTCTCACAGTAAATAGAAACACACGCTTTAGCAAAAGATTAGACACTGTGAAAAATGTACTTTTTTCAGGGTAAATGCAGGTTAGAAATGTAGCCTTAAATAATTTATTCAGGAAAGGAATACTTTAACAAAGTGGCTTACCACTGGGCCTTGGTATCTGCTATTGTTACTTAGTAAAATGTAGTTCTCTCTCTTTTTTTTTTCTTTCTTTTTTTCTTTTTTTTTTATTTTTCATTTTTGCTTGAGTGAGCTAAACCTTTGAACATATTGAAGATTTTCTTTCAGGACTCATCTTTGAAAAGATGTTACATGGCACTGCTAATCCTTAAAAGCTGTGTTTATGGTGCATTGCAAATGCACATAAGACTGTCTAACAATATATGCAGTGACACTAGGATTCCCGTACTAAAAGGATTTTTTTCTTTGATGTGGAAAGTCCATTTGGTTGGGGTATTTGAATGCTGGGGCAAAGGTCTATGATGTGGTGGTGTGCCTTCATTACAGTAGTATTGGTTCTCTCATCTTCCAAGGCAATGCTTTTCTTAAAGCCAGCAATATGGAAACAGAACAAAGTGTAAGACAGCATAGTGTTTAAACAACTGAAAATATCAGACACCATAACGATATCTTAAATTGGGATATAACCTGTTATTATACATAGGATGTTACAGTTTCATGATTTGTTTTACTCCAGGGTAGCATAACACTTTGAAAGTCTGTTCTTGACCTTTTTCAGTCTTTGCTTACCCCATCAAATTTGATAGGTACAAACAAATTTTGTCTCATATGCAAGTATCACTGTGTGCCAAAAAAACGTCTGGTGATATCCAAGGGTACTGAGACTGAAATTTACCTTTTAGTATATGTAACTAAGCAGAAAAGCTTCATCAAAATACCAGTTTAGGATTAAAAAAAAAACATGTCCCAGTTAAGAAGAAAACTTAAGCATGTTCTAAAAGTTAACAAAGCTTAAATACATTGGCCAAGAAGGTTAAAAGGCGTAAGTATCTGCAAGGCAGTTCCCCTGCCCTTCTGCATGATTGCAGTCTAAAAAACCTTTGTACTTTCAGGTCTATATTTGAACTGTGGGGTCATGGAAGATCTGCAGGGGAGCTCTATGCATCTTTGAAGAAGTATCCAATGGACAAGATGGTATGCATATAAGGAATCTGGATAATATAGTTCCTTAATTACACTGAGTAACACTGCAGTTCTACTAATGAAGGTGTCTTTGCCTTTTTTTTTTTTTTCAGCTTCCATATCTAGAGTCAGACTCTACTTACAAAGTACATATTCATACATTTAATAAAACGCTGACCCAAGCACAGAAAATAAAAAAGATAGATGTAAGTACATTTTTAAGAAATCTTTGACATTTAATTTAATCTATTCAGGTTGTTCTTATTCCATGCTATCAGTGTTGCCTACAGTGTATTTAAGTTTGGGTTTCCTGAAGATCTTAAAGCAGTTTACAGCTTATTCCTTGTCAGCTCTAAATGAGATCTTTGTGTTTACAAAGAATTAACATTCTCCTCAAAATTCATTACCTTGTTTTTTTTTTTTTTCTAAACGGGCAACGTAAGGCATATACAAAGACAAACAAACACTGCTGATTTCAGCCCAGTGTGCTGGGAAAACTGAAGCTTTTGCCCAAAACTCTAGCCACTTGAATGTTATAGTTAGGTGCTAGATTTTTAGAAAATCTGTTGCTTGATCTCCATATTAGGCATTTATTGTTGCAGAATGTGGAACAAGCAAGTCCAGGGACTTCAGCTGCAAGCTGTGGATTGTGTGCTGATTTCCTGTTCTGTCTTTAAGTTCTTGTCTGCACTTGTGCTTTCCTCCTAACTGTATAAGTATTTTAACGAGGAAATTTTTCTAAATTACTGTTAATTTTTGCTCTTACATTCTGTTTTTAGCAGCTATTTAGCCTCTTTACTTCATTTACAGAGACTGAAATTATCTCTACTAATAGTAGCTACCCTTTCCTATTTGTTCTGTTTTTGTATACATTAAATAATGCTGAGTATGTAAATTGGTGTAGCTGCACATCACTGAAGTTTTAAATCCCATTGTTCATCATCAGTGTTGTTTTTATAACTTGAAAGTTGCATAATTAATATGCACAGTTCATTTTCTCTAAAGTTGAGTTCTGTTCAGTTAATAAAAAATGTAATGGTTCCTGATTTCTAATCCTTAGTCGTTATCTTTATTCACAAGAAAAGCATTTCCAAAATCCAGAGAAAATTGTACTTTTAGTACAATTGTGTTTACAAAGAATTAACATTCTCCTCAAAATTCATGACCTTGTTTGTTTTTTTCTAAACAGGCAAGGTAAGGCATATACAAAGACAAACACAATTTTAGTACAATTTAGTTTTGAAAAATGTACTTTTAGTACTTACACATAATTTCTTACAGGTGGAGTTGTGATTTGGTTTTTGGGTTTTTGTTTGGTTGGTTTTTTTGAGGTGCCTATTTCAAAAATCTGACCGTGTCATTTTTGACTCTGTTTTTCTTTATTGTATAGGCCCTTGAATTTCTGCCATTCAAAGGAAAAGTAAATTTAAAGAATCCAGAACACATCTTCTGGATTTTGGAAGATTATGGAATGGATCCTAATAACGTTCCAGAAGAGCCCTGTCATCTGTATTTTGGTAGATGGGTGCGTGAATATGCTTGCTTCAGTTCTTATGAGCTTGTATTTTCAGGAAAGCATTCTTCAATTTAGATGTTAAAAACCGTGTTGAGTTTTAATGGAAGCAGACAATATAATTATGGCTGAATTTGTCACTGCATAATACACTGATGCAAGTCTTGCAACTCCTTATTGTGACTAGGAAGAAATAGGTTAAGTGAGCAATTTAGAGGTGGGAAAACTGGAAGTTGTATCTGGGAACACACCCTATCGTGCCCTTCACTGACGGAACTCAACACAGCAGTGAGACTGCACAGCTGTATTAACTGGTATAGTAGGGCCCAGATGGAGCTAAAAGCACCAGCAGCCTGTTTCGAACACGAAGAAAGATTTACAGGAACTGTAGATGGCTCACGGCCCTGCTGAGTTGCGTCAGCTCCACCAGAGCATTCTGTAAGTGCTTTAAGCAGTTGTGATGGGTACCTCCACAGAAAGGTGCAGACTGATCCCTGAGGCTTTGGACATCAACGGCTCCAGCCCACAGGTGGATGCTTGCCCAGGGGAGGACACTTGACAGTGGAGTGCTGTACTGTAGGAACCACATTCAAAAACTGTCTGGAGCTTGTCATCTGAGGTCTTTACTACAAATGTCCTTGCCTGTTGAGCATATGCACTCCAAACCTGCTGCATTATTTGGATATCCTGAGTAAATTTGATCTGGTCTTTTTTTTCTTGTAAGGAAAAAGTGGGTCCCCAAAGGACATCTTCCAGAATGACACCAGCCACTGATGGGAATGTGTGCTTGCAATGTTCTGGGCCAAGGGCAGCTGGAGGGAGGGAGAACTGCTGAGGTTGTACAGCTATGGTCAGGGCCTGTGTACAGAGAAGTTAGAGAACCAAGTGATCTGTTAGCACCTGTGAATATTCTCCATGCCTGCGATTAATGTGACATCACCCTGGGTTGTGACAATACTGTAGAACATTGCAGCTGTTATCTGTGCTGGCTTCCTTAAGTGTTTAAAAATAAGTAAACCAAACTGAAAAAAGTAGGCAAGTTTATTTTGTTTACCCAATAAGGCTGATGTTGACCAGAGCTGGGGATCGGGTTGGAAGAGCTTTGGAATGCATTTTCCTCCATACTGCTTTGGTCCTCTTCAACATATTTTGGAAGTCTGATGTAAAAAGCTTGCATTTGGTCTTTGTTTTCCAGTAAATTCTGATCTGTCAACACTGTCCTAAATTTAGATTTTTGAGCGTGACAGAAAAACCAGTGAAGATGAAACTTCTGTGTGACCTTAAGCATGTGCATGTGTGCACGCACATGTTAACATGCATTTCTGCTCCTTAACATTTTGAAATTCTCTTACTTTAAATTAGTAGGAAGTTATTCTGATACTTACGATAATAGCGAAGTTGCTGTAGTTGTTACTTCTTCAGAAGAATTTTCCCACTAAACTGTTTGTATATTTTTGACCTCTGTCTTGAAGAATTTATCTAGGTATTGCACCAAGATGTCTGCTGCTTGGAAAGAAATCTCTTGTAGTTTCAGAAGGCAGAAAGCAAAGTGATGTGTTATGAAATGAAGAGTTACCTGTTTGTTGGATGGTGCCACTTAAGCAAGTCCGGTAGCCTGTCTGCTGATCTCTTGTATCTAAGACCTGACAGTGATTTTAAATGTTTCAACAGATTGCAGATGGCCAAAGAGAACTTATCGAGTCCTACAGTGTAAAAAAGAGACACTTTATTGGAAATACTAGCATGGATGCCTGCCTGTCTTTCATTATGGCAAACCATGGGAGAGTAAAACCCAATGATGTTGTATATGATCCATTTGTTGGAACAGGTATATTTTTTTCTACTGGGGGGGAAAACTGGGAGATTGTGTTACTGCTGACACCACGCTTTTACCTGGCGCAGCGGCTTCTGGTGCATGACTGGGATTTGAGATGGTGCCAAAAGCAAAATGGTGATTAAGAAATGAATGTTTTGTTAACTTGAAAGGGATTTTGAGGGAAGGAGACCAACTTCAGAAGATTTAAACAGACTTGTCAGAAATGTAAAATGTCTTAACCATATATTTTTTTTGTATAACATGGCTTAAACATGAGTTCATGTGTGTCATGGTCCTCTTAAGATCCAAAGTGACTAAGAACTGAAATTTGGAGTACTAGAGTAGTCCCTGCAGCTGCTTTCAGAATGTTACTGGGAGCAGCATTTTTTGGAGGTGGCTGTTTAGAGGAGTGCTAAGGGCACTTCTGGGCATCTAATACAACATGTAGTTAGGTCGCAGCGTTCAATAGTGATCAGTTCCTTGTACTATCTTGTCTTTGGGGTAATACTTGTTCACACCACGTATTTGCCCCCAGCTGAACTTTTCTTAGTTAAGCCACGAGGGGGAGCCTTTATTCCACGTATTGCTGTGTGTGCCGTAGAAGTACTTTCTACCTAAGGGAAACTCGGCTGTTTTGTAGGTGAAGTACAAGATCTGTTGTATCAGGTTGTGCCATTTACTCATACCAGAGTATATGGTGTTAAAACTATTTATAGTAGTTTCTTCAAAAGCATAACAAAGATTGTGTTTCTGACCTGGATTTTGCTAAACTTTGATCAAGAAGACCATATGTGAGACACATACAATTAAAAGTGCTTACATTAATGGGAGGATGAAGATAATTCACTACACAAATCATTACAAAGAAGTTAGGGAGAGAGAAGGTAACACTACAGGGTCACTAGTAGGACAAATTCGTATTAGCGTGTGGTTTCTCTCTACCATAGAAAATAAACCAGGGGTATAATATTTTCAGAAACACAAGGCTTCAGTGAACTGTATGTTTTTTGCCTTAAATTTTTGTTCATATACAACCTGATTTTTTGTGTGCATAATAATCTCTTATGAAATTTCCTCCTTCTCCTTCTGTTTGTGTTCCTTGCAGATGGCTGGTACTCTTTGAAAGGTTAAGGAAATTTCCCTAGTTGATCTCTAAGCAGTTTCTTTCATTTTGGTGTCTGTGGTTTTGTTTGGTTTTTTTGTTTTGTTTTTTTGGTTTTTTTTACAAAAATCTGCTAAACCTAAATGACAAAAATTTCTTTGAGAGCATACATTCTCTTGGGAGTGAAAATTGAAGAAGAAAAAGGAAGAGTAAAGTTAGAGGAAGAAAAACCACATAAAGGTGGTGAAGCTATAGAGATTCAAAATAAGTGTTAAGTCGTAAGCATTTCCGTTCAGAAGTGTAACATATACAAAATTCTCCTTGAATTGCCTAATGATTTGAATTGCAAACTTCCTGATTTCATTATCCTAGACATCTGTAATGTACAGACTTGAGATCTGGAGAACAAGTCTTTACAAGGAGTGGCTGGGGGAACTGGGGTTGTTCAGTCTGGAGGAGGCTGAGGGGAGACCTTATTGCTCTCTACAGCTACCTGAAAGGTGGTTGTGGTGAGGTGGGTGTTGGTCTTTTCTCCCAAGTAATAGCAATAGGACGAGAGGAAATGGCCTCAAGTTGCGCCGGGGGAGGTTTAGGCTAGGTATTAGGAAAAATTTCTTTACGGAGAGAGTGGTCAAGCTTTGGAACAGGCTGCCCAGGGAGGTGGTGGAGTCACCATCACTGAAAGCGTTCAAAAAATTTGTGGACATGGTGCTTCGGGACATGGTTTAGGGGGCATGGTGATGTTGGGTTGATGGTTGGACTTGATGATCTTAAAGTTCTTTTCCAACGTTAATGATTCTGTGATTCTGAGATTAAAGGTACATAGGGACACTGGAGATACAGCATGGCACATCTTTTGTCAGTAAAGTGTATTTATGACTAAATAACTAAACAGTGGCTTTTGCATCTACTATTGGTGAGTAAACCCCAGGAATTTCAATTGTCTCTTGAGGTCCTTTAGAGGATTTTCAAGATTGTCAGTGCAGAAGTGCCCTATCACTGGAATCTTGGGGAGGTAGAGTAGAGAGTTGATCAGTGAGTTTGAGGTGATAGGTTTGGAAAGAACATGCATTCCAGATTTGAGGAATACTTTGAAGAAACTGTATTTCAGGTTTCTTTGTTGGTGCAACTTTAATACCTATCTTGGTTTCTCCTACTTTTTGTGCTGAAAAGGTAATTGTTACTGAATTAGAACAGCCTTGCACAATGGTACTTGCTTGTTGGAAATAAACTGGTTTTGCTAGATGAGCCAAATTCCAAGTCTTCCAGATCAGTGTAGGAGTGGACAATTGGATTTTGTCCTTAGAATGAAAAGTGCTTTTGACCCAGCTGGTTTAGGAGACATAATTCTCCCTTTTTGTAAAGCAGAACTGGAATAACCAGGATTGGTTCTGAGTTGTAGGATGTGACTTCCAAAAACTTTTTAGATATTCTTTCCTCTGTCTTGGGAGACAAGGAAGTCTGTAGGTTTCCAGAAGAACAAATCAAGTCTTTTACCTGAATACTTTGTATTGTCCTCCTAGACAATCTGTTCTGGTTATCTCAGTAAGCTTATTGTTTGTACTTTTGGAACATTTGTCCCTACTTCCCTTTTGCCAGTTCATGATGCTGTGTAATTGCAAATGACAGGAACTATTTCTTTGACATCCTGGAGGATAGTGGTATGACCAGATCCTCATCGATGCTCAAGAGATGGGGGATAGACAAGGTAGAAAGGCATGAAGTTCTGTGCCATCGTCATTCTGCTAATACTCGTCAGGGGACACAATGATTCTCTGATTAACCCTTTGTATACATCTGTTTAATATAGTAGGTCAAAGGGTTGGCCATATTAGAGTATTTAAGTATTCATGCACCTTCTGTGTGAACACAATTGAAGTAGCTCTAGCTGAGATTTATCAAAAGCTGTAAGTTCATGTTTTCCTAACTTTTTTTTTCCTTATGATTAAAAACATTCTTAGATGGGCAAAGTACTTTCTTTTTACTTTTTTTATAGGACTGGGTGGTATCCCATACTTGGGGTCAGGGCTAGCTAAATTTGTCTTGACCCTCTGGAGGTACTGCCCATCTGTTCTGAGGGATTGCAGCCGAGAAGGGAAATGGGTGACTCCTCGGGGGTGAGTAACCTTGCTTTTCCCTGATCCATTTCACAAGAAAAAGCAGAGGAATCTTTTTTTTTTCTTCTTCTTCACCTTTAGTTTTGGTAGAGGTTATTAGCATATGCTACAGGAGTTTTCTAGTGCTCTGAGACGGGACCTTTAGCCTGTATACACAGTGTGTGTTAGGGATTTGCCAGTGCTTAGTGCAGCCACCTGAGATGCTCCTTTCCAGGCTACCAGTGAGTGGGAGAACTGCTGTCACCTGCACAGCCAGCTTACATGTTGTTCCCTGCGCTGGTCAAGTCTCATCCTGCAGCAATCATCCCCCTTATTTTAGCAAGATTGTTTGTATCTATGAGCAGTTGGCATCGGTAGTGTGGAGTTTACAGCCTTGTTCTCAGCCACTCTTCTGCTCTAGACTATTCCGTTAGGTGCATACCTCCTTACTAACAACTCGACAACACAGCTTTTTGGTAATCCTCTGCTGTCCGTCCTTATTTTTTATTTGGAAGCTGTTAAAGACATAAAGGAGATGCCCTTTTCTGTGGACTATTCAACCATTGCCCTGTTTCAAGGTGAAATCACACATGCTTTTTTGGTAGGTTTTTTTAATTAGGAAGGCAGATCACAATAGTAGTGATAAACAATGAGTTTTATTGCAGGATAAGCTAGCTAATAAATGTGTTGACAAAATAGGTGGTACACTCACAGGAAAAAAAATGCATCTGTATATAGCTGTCACTGCAAAACAATTACAGAAACTTTTTTGATACTGCTGTTCATATTTGATCTGTTTATATTTACAAGGTTCTTGACCATTGCTTCTTACTCAGGGAATGGCCGCATATGCAACAAGTTTGATTTTAGACACAGTTAAGGAGACTGAGAACAGACACTGTAGAATTGCCATTTGGTGATGTTTTTTTTCAAATGGTTTCCCAACAGTTTGAAAAGCTGCTGCTTGCAAAATTGAATTAAATGTTTTGGTTCATGTCATGATTAAAGGATCTTATTGCCTGGAAATACAGAAAACCATAAACAAAATCCTAATAACAGTCTCCAGAGATAAGGAGTGACATAGGGCATAGCAAGATAAGGAAGATCAGGGACTGTGTGTTACTGTGTCTGATTATAGTTGCATAGTGATTCTAACTGATTGGTAGTTTTAATTATCTTCT